CCTAAATATGATGAGGTTTATATTATTCTCAATTCTTGAATATGATTTAATATTTTCGTGGTTCCATTGTAGGTGCAATTTTACACAGCACACATGCTTCGACTTTGAGGCTTAATTTGATCATGATCCAATCCGAATCTAGAAACTCGTGAAAGACAAAAGTTGTAGGAAATTTCGTTGGCTGTTCGGATCATATTGAATCAACAAAATCGGACATCGGATGCTAAAGATATGATTAAGTTCTTCAGTGCTGCCAAAACTGCCGAGTACGTTTATAATTATTCCGGGTACGCCTTTTCATTTATAAAATAGTATCTCATGCAATTAAGTGATAATATTATATGATAAATAATATGGTATTATATGAGATAGAAACATGGTTATGTTGCATGATAATGTTATGGCGTAGTAATAATGCAATATAGGTTATAATTGGCATGATAACTTTATTTATGAGAGCATGATAAACCTTGAATGTTTGAAGCATGTATAGATACTTTGAATGTTATTTCGATATGTTGAGATGCTTGGACTACTCTTGATATATGCATTAGATTTTGCTGAAATTCGTATGCATAATTTAAATTAAATTAGTGCATAATATTATGAGGTGTAGTATTGTCGCATACTTGAAATAACATATAATAATATTTTTATGATATTATATTATTTATATGATGTCTATGTCAATGAGTACATAGAATTAGAAACATATAATATATGTCTGTTGAAGCATAATTTTATGAATTGAAAATTATGTTGTAGTACGTGATTAAACGTGATTAAATTATATGGATATTTATGCTATTATGTAAATGATTTTCAGCATGCATAATGATATTTAATTGGATAATAGTTTATTGAATGTACGAATAAATTATTTATTCCATGTTAATTTTGAAATGCTTATTTACATATAAGTATTTTGTATGCATATATTATATGATGCATGTGAATATTTGGAATTATTTAATTATAATTATGTGCATATATGTATGTTTATGAGCTCATGATTAGTTCCAAATGTTATGTTATATCATAAATAATTCATGCTATTTGTGATATTATTATGTTTAAACTCAATATTTATTATATTGAAATCAAGTTGTTGCACTTTTATCTTTAAAATGATAATTTCGTATGTGTGTGCAATTAGAGGCATGTAATATTTGAAATTGATATACAATCGAAACTCTAGAAGCTAAATTTCTAAATGAATATTTGAGCAGTTGTTATCTAAAAGAACATCGAAGATGATCGATCTATTGGACTGTCTTAACTTTTGGATATTGTATTCATAAGACATAAGTATACCTTATGAATGAATTTGATGGTGTTGAACATCTGATCCATTTGTAAACAACAATGGTTGTTTTTTCTTGCGGAAAATGTCAAACAATCTCTATACGAGATATTATTGTGGCCAATTGCACCGTTGGATCAATATTTCTATATTGTGAACGGTAGGAGTTTCTAAACTCTAGATTTGAATTGTGTACAAACTGTCACAATTTGATAAGAACTTTCTTGATTTGAGTATCTTGAGAAGTTTCTTATAGTGTGTTCTATTAAGACAAAATAAACACACATTGGTGATTTAAAAGATTGTACAATTTATGAGAAAAGTATTTGTTACTTTTGTGGTATTTATACCAAAATTTTATTATGCATCTTTGTTAAGTAACAAAGACGAGACCTTAGAAGCATTTAAATGAGAATGATCATGGTATATGAATAAAAATTGTTATTCAAAGTGATTGACGTGGATGATATGGAGTATTTTTTGACAAGTTTTGTACTTATCAAATCTCTAGTCCTTATCAACCACAGTTGAAAGTATTGAGAAATGAAATACTCGAACTGTTAATGAGTAAGAAAGCCATGTTGATAATTCTAGAGTAAGCTAGAATTTGTGGGGGAGATTATGGCTCACCACTTTCTCATTATTTTACCACATAAAGGTTTTGGACCATAGAAATGTGGGGGTGTTTTGACTAAGGTAAATGTACCAAAAGAGCCTTAAAATGTTGAAATGCATATTTATTGAATATGCTAAGTACGAAAGTGCTCAAGATAGTCATTCTTGATGCAAATAAATGTAATGTCTTTGAAATTAAATGTGTTTGAAAAATTGGATTTTGACCCCAAGTTTGACAAACAATTTAAGTGGATTCCATTTGAAGTTATGGAATAAAAACTACACTTTGACTAGATACATCTAGTGTGTTTAATTTCTCAAACTCGAGTAGGGGTGAATGGGAAATTAATGTATATGGAGGTGAAAAGTCACCATCCATCATTGACAATGAGCTACATTTAAAACACTTTATTAAGTGTAAATGATTAGTTAGAAATATATCTCTCTATGAGATCAAGTGGTAATTTATAAAGTGATAAATAACCAAATCAACAGTTTGATTTTAATTTTCTAATTTATGGGTTAGAAAATGAACCTCGGGCAATTAATGAAGTATTGTCCACTTGGGGGTTAATTGTCTTTGAGACAAAGGAAAATCAGTGAAACTCGTATAGTATGAACTTAAATAAGTTCTAAAGCAATTGCACAGTTGGTAAGAATTGTTGTCAAATATTTTAAAACTTGGCGAGTTTGAAAAGTACGTGTGTGATAAATGCACATAAGAGTACATGTTTTTGAGTAAATGACATGTTAATCATGCGGTGTAATCATGGTACTATCATGAAAACTAATGAAATATTAGTAAAAGATTTCAATGTGGAAAATATGGTCCCATTTATGCAATCTTATTGAGATTAAAATCACTAAGGATTTTATGAATTATTGGAGTCTCTTTATGTTGAGACAATGCTAGTCATATTGAACTCATCAATATAAGACTATAAAGAATAGTGGTGAACAATGGTTCAACTAAAATATTCTTGAATAGATTGTAGTTTAATGAACTACATGTTGATTGACTCATTAAGCAAGTCAAGTAAGTAGGTAATCCTATATGTAAGAAGATATCCAATTAAACTTGAAAAGTAAATTCATACGAATTGGATATGTGTTACTAAGATACTAAGTCCATAAATGATTTTGTACTGTGGAAGTCCTCAAAATAAATGTATAACTCGATTCACTATGGAATTTGAGACATAACTTGGAAGTTAAAGAAAAATGTTGGATAACTCCATAATTTTCTAGAGGACATTATGTGATGGACTTAGTTGGTGCTTGAAAATAATTGTAGTAGTCACTTGGCTATACAAAAGAGCACCAAATAATATGTGAAATGGTAAAGTCTCGATCGTAGACGTTACACCATTTAGCAATTGATCTCTAGTGAAATTATAAACGTTGACTTTACGAAGTCAAGAGATAATTTGGTTGATCCTTGACGAAGGAATCAATAGAGATCAAACGTGCAAGTTAGTGATGGGAATGGGTCTATAAACCCACAACTCAAACGAAAATCCATGATGGTAACCCAACCTTGTAGATTGGAGATCCCAAGATCTTGGTTCAATGGGACAACTAAGTTATGGAAATTCAAATCGAGCACTTGGAAATAATTCCTACCATTCCCTAAAATCCAAGTGCTACCTGTCGAATGTGGTAAGGTTAAGTCTAGTGACTTTTAATGATTCCTATGACCTTTTAAGGTGGAATACGGCAGGGTATTCTTTATGGGAGATCACCTATTTAAGTGTGAAGTATAGGGCCGCTTCAATGAAACACTTATGAATCCAAGAATTGGTCCAAGGCCGAAATGGACACAACGTGAGAACAAAAGACGTTAGAGATGTTATTGTGTAAGTGTTGTTGTCTTGGTTTACACAAAAGTTGATTAGTTCAAGACATCGCGTTCACTAAACAACAAGTAAATCCGACAACATTTTACTAAGGAAGGTTCAAAGCCATAAGCTACCTCTCCCGATGCAATAACAAATCGCTTGGACTTTGAAAGTGTCTGCATGCATTAATTTCATTCATGTGGGGGATTGTTGGAAATTTTGAGTATTTGACTCAAATTTTGTTGAATATTTAAGTGGTTTAATTTAAATTCTCAAAATTAATTTTTGATGAATGATAAATTAATGGATCATTTAAAATATTTAAGTGTGGAAAATAATAAAGTGAAATGCCACCATTGAAAAAGATGGAGGTGTTTAAGCACCTATTAAATTGAATAGGTATGTGATTAATGGGAAAAGGTGTGATACCTTTTCATGAAATTATTTTCCTAAGAGTTGTGACTTGTGGTCATAACCTTTGAAAATCTATAAATAGATTCCAAAATCCACCATTTGAAATAGTTCATTATTCACATGGAATTCAATACATTAATTGAATTCACTTCTCGTCATAACATATCATTGCATATTGTTGCATTAACAAGTCCTTTCTTCGTGTCTTATAAAGTCCTAAACGTCGTTTCGTTCGCCGTGTTCCAATAATTGTTGTGCTGCTTTGTTGGAACTGAAATAGTCGTTGTATCTTGGGAGACAATTGCCATAAACCGAGAGCACTGCACGGGGCAAATTTGTCTTAAGGAGAAAGAACCTAGTTCTTGCCTCGACTACATTTTTCTTGTCAAACTTCTGTCCAAATTTTGTTCGTTCCCATTTCAAAATACACACACCCAAATTATAACAAATTTTTATATGGGCAGTTAGATGTTACACCCGATTATTTACATTGTGTGAATTTAAACCGTAGATTTAATTAAATAGTTATCCACTAAGCACACATTTTTTTTTTTTTTTTTTGATAATTTAAGCACACATACACATGAATATAGATATAATTATGTGTAGATATACAGTCCAAATCCACCCAGTATAAATAACCAGACGTCGCATCTAATTTCCGATTATGTACATAAAAAAATAGGAAAAAAGGTTAAAAAAATGAATGAAGTTGCAAATATAAAAATAGCAAGAAAGTCCAAAGAAGTCTCTCCACTCTTGTCTCAGTCCCCACTCCCTTTACCTCATACATAGTAGAAATATCTGTCCTTTTTATTACATCTTTTTTATTACATCTTTTTATAAGAAGCATTATAAATCAAATCATATTCACATCCACGTATTCCAATCCGCCTCCCCCAATTTTTATTTATAATATAAACTTATTAAACCGAAAATCTCCATGCAGATAATTGGATTAATTATTTGAAACATATTTCTAATAATAATAAAAAAAATAAAAAAATAAAAAAAATATGAGAAATTCCACCACCACCATAGTTCTTTTGTGCTTCTTCTTGATTTTCTGCACACTCTCTTCTTGCTCAGCAGCTACACTACTTCCCAAGAAGCAGCAGCTCCACCCAGATGAAGGTATTTACCATTTTCTCCAATTCTTGATTTTTTATTTTTTAATTTTTTTTTGGGGAGAGCCCAGATAATCAATTTGTGTGTTTGTTGAACTGATTTAATTATTTTGGGTTAAATTAATTAATTTATTTATGCAGTGAGGGCATTGAAGGAAATAGGGAAGAAAATGGGGAAAAAAGACTGGGATTTTAACAAAGATCCATGCAGTGGTGAAGGGAATTGGAGTTTGCCAATTACAAGAAAGGGTTTTGAGAGCTCCGTTACTTGTGATTGCTCCTTTGATCTCAATTCCACTTGCCATATTGTTACTATGTATGTTTTTCTTTTCTTTTTGTGTGTGTGTGTGTGTGTGTGTGAAATATTTGGATTTTTTTTCTTTTTCTTTTTATATATTTTTTTATGTGTACTTGAGAAAACTATATTTAGTATTCTTCTTCCATGGCCGGAGTTGTGGGAGAGCAGCTCGGAGAATGAGATGTTGACCGGAACCAGCCGGTCAACGGCTTGATGATGAGTCAGCGATTTTGACTTTTTCTTACTGTTCATTTAATCATCCAGGCTGTACAATGGCGGGCTGATGGGCCCACCTTGTCTTCTGTCTGAAAGTCCCACACCTCAATTGTTTTTACTTGAATGACTGAAAGCCATGTCTTGTCTTCTTGTCCTCTTGTGTGTGTGTGTGTGTGGGTGTGTTTGTGTGTGTGTATTTGTGTGTGTGTGTGTATTTGTGTGTGTGTATTTGTGTTTGTGTTTGTGTGTGTGTGTATTTGTGTGTGTATATTTGTGTGTGTGTGTATTTGTGTGTGTGTGTGTGTGTGTGTGTGTGAATTAACTGCCATAACTTACTATGATGCCTTGATGGTGGTAATGTTTGATCTTCGACTACGGAGAAATCAAGAAAACATTACAAAAACTCGTTTTCGAAATATAGAAGTTACCGCGGTTATAAAAATTCAAAGTTTACGTATAAATTAGACCGACCCTTTGGATTATGTAAGGTAACGAACGATTCTATCGAAATGTATTTCAAGATCTAAAGTCGTGCGCGTTTTAATTTTTAATCTAACTCACAGTCGGGCTTTAACTTTCTTGAATTCCCGATTTAGAAAGTTATATATATAATCCAGTTATCTTAAACTAACATTGCGACGTTAAAACGAAATCGGTGCAGAGCTTTGAAAGCACAGAATTTAACGGGAGTCGTTCCACCCGAATTTGCCAAACTCCGCCATCTTCAACATTTGTGAGTCATCGTCACTCTTCGTATTTAGAATATATATAATATTTTTCATGTCCGGCTTTTAATTTTTTTTAATTTTTTTTTCCTATATGCAGGGATCTTAGTCGAAACTACCTTAATGGTTCAATACCTCTTCAATGGGCTAAAATGAGCTTGCTTGACGTGTAATTCCTATATCCCCGCCTCGTGTTCTATTACTTTATTGCTTAAATTGTGATTCGAGCTTTTTTTTTTTTTTTTTTTTTTTTTTGTGCAGGTCTCTTATGGGAAATAGATTATCGGGTCCGTTTCCGAAAGTTATTACCAGAATTACCACACTTGTGAACCTGTATGCATCAATCTCTATTTAATTTTCTGCCTTCTTATTTTCTACTCGTTTTTCTACAGAATAAATAGTCATAGGTTGTTTCATTTAAACTACAATTTATGACAAGATGTCTTTCAAATCGACGTTGAAATTTTCTACATGCAGGAGCCTCGAGGGAAACCAATTTTCGGGACCAATCCCTTCAGATATCGGGTTCTTGGTCAACGTACAAAAACTGTAAATATTTCATCACTCGTTCCAAATTCAGTTTTCTTGAAATTTGCTTCAGTGTCATAATTAACGGTCTACTTCGATCCCACGTTTTTCAGTGTTTTGTCGTCAAATGCATTCACCGGAGATTTACCGGTTGCGTTTTCCAATTTGACCGCGTTAACTGATTTGTGAGTACCACCACATCTCTTCATTCGATCGAACTTTCTTCTTTAATAAAAACGAAAATTTATCGCTTTTATTTTTTTGCGCAATTAGGAGGATAAGCGACAATAACTTTACAGGAAAGATTCCAGATTTCATTAGCAGCTGGAAACAAATCGAAAAACTGTAAGTTGCATTGAATCACGTCGAAAAATTAAAACGGGGAATTATTCAGAAGCTCGTCTTTTTTTTTTTTTTTTTTTTTGTCTCAGGCACATGCAAGGTTGTTCTCTTAAGGGTCCGATCCCTTCTTCGATATCTTCTCTGACAAGCTTAACTGACTTGTGAGTGTTGTCTTAAAATCATTTCCCTCAATTAATCTGGGCTTATTATGTATGGATTCACTAATTTTTTTAGCTTCGTTTTTTACGACTTTTTAGGAGGATCAGCGATTTAACTGACGGAGGATCGACTTTTCCACCACTAAGTGATATGAAGTCAATTAAAGTGCTGTGAGTTTTTAAAACATTTTCCATCCGACGATAATATATATAGAATGTTTTGGCCATATATATATTAAACGGAAAGGTTCGGTGTACGTAGGATACTGAGGAGTTGCTTAATAGAAGGAGGCATGCCCGAATATATCGGAAACATGAAGAAATTGAAGAATCTGTAAGTATTATATCCATTTTTTACTTGAATTATTTTACTGTAATGAGGTGGCAACTGAAATCTTAAAATCGAGCTTCGAAAATGTAGGGACCTTAGCTTTAATAATTTGACTGGAGTGATTCCTGATTCGTTTGTCCATCTTGCAAAAGTCGATTTTTTGTAAGTCAAAACTTAATTCTTTTCATACATTTTGTTTTTTTATTATACTTCACGAGCATTTTATTGACGCTAAATTAACAACAATGGTTCGTGTTTTATAGGTATCTGACGAGAAATAAACTTACCGGACAAATTCCAGGGTGGCTTTTAGAACGAAACAAGAATGCGTAAGCATATTCCATCAAACAATATTCAATATTATGCCACACATAATTTTCGATAACGATTTCAGTAGCGTCATATTTTGTCTATTTCACTTACAGAGATATCTCTTATAACAATTTCACGTCAGAAAGCTCATCGGCAAACGAATGCACAATCGGGAGTGTGTAAGTATTTTTATAGATTTCGAAGTTTGCGTTTTTTTTTTTTTTTTTAACGTGAGATCAAAATTTATGCTCGCTTATTTTGCTTCAGGAACTTGGTGGAGAGCTACTCATCGGCAGCTAATAAACCGTAAGATTGCGTTTTTATTATGCATTTTAAGTGATAATAAATTAATAATCACTACTATTGAATTTGATTAATTAAATTTCAAACATGTAACCATACTAATAATTTAATTTTACTTTTCCTTTCGCGTAGAGGTAAAGAAGTCCACGGATGCATGAAGCAAGACTATCCATGTCAAAATCCGAAAGATAACCGTAAGTATATATAGTCAAGCTTTCGAAGTTATACTAATAATAAAATAATAATAAAATCTCACTGCTAACCAACAGAGCATTACTCGTTGCACATAAACTGTGGAGGAAAGTCAGTAAACACGACAAATAGTACAACAAAATACGAAGCTGATTTAGAAGCGAGAGGCGCTTCGATGTACTACCAGGGGCAAAACTGGGCATTTAGCAGCACCGGCAATTTCTTGGACAACGACCTCGATTCCGACAACTACATCGAGACAACAAACATTTCCGCACTGTACAATGTCACTGCACCAGAATCCGAACTGTACAGAACCGCCCGCGTTTCTCCACTCTCCCTCACTTATTACGGACTCTGTCTCCTCAACGGCAACTACTCCGTCAAACTCCATTTCGCGGAGATTGTTTTTTCGAACGATCGTACGTTCAACAGCCTTGGCAGGCGTATATTCGACGTCTACTTGCAGGTAAATCAATTAATTAATACCGGACAGATATATATTAATTTAGTGTTGGATTTCTTACAACATAGTATGAATGCACAGGGAAAGTTGGTTTTGAAGGATTTCAACATTGCTGAGGTGGCGGGTGGGCCCGGTAAGCCGATTGTGAAGAGCTTCAACGTGACGGTAACAAGCCATACATTGAAGATACATCTTTACTGGGCAGGAAAAGGGACAACCGGCATTCCACTTCGAGGAACTTACGGCCCTCTTATATCAGCGATATCGGTTGATCCTAGTACGTTTAGTTTCTTTTTTTTTTTTTTTTTATATACATATATATTAAAAAGAAGATCATTTATTTATTATTTTCGTAACATTTTTTTTTCCGTTGTATAGATTTTAAACCACCGGTTCCGGTTCATCACAAAAAGATTAGTACAGTAATGATGGCTGGGACGATAGCAGGAGCCGTTTGTTTCGTCACTCTGATTCTCGGTATCTTGCGTAAGAAAGGCTGTCTTGGTGGCAAATCTTCCACCGATAAAGGTATTATTATTATTTTTTTATTACAAGAATCATAAGGTGGTTAGATGATGCCTCGTATTAAGAAATTATTAAAGTATAAAATTTGATTGTCGTCCCATCATAGATTTCCACAGTGCATGCATGCAACTTCGGGGTTTTTTTTTTCCTCGACATTCGACTAACATATGCATTTTTCGAAATGGGATATTAAAGAAAGACGTGATTTTTGTGACGAAAATTATTGTTTGCAGAGCTTCGAGGCCTCGATCTACAAACGGGTCTGTTCACATTAAAACAGATCAAATCTGCAACGAAGAACTTCGATCCAGCAAACAAGATTGGCGAGGGTGGTTTTGGTACCGTTTATAAGGTTATAAATAGCTTTCACAACTTCCATTCTTAATCACACACACACACACACACACACACACACACACACACACACACACACACACACACACACACACACACACACACACACACACACACACACACACACACACATTGAATATAATATTGAAATGGAAATTTAATATTCTCCGGCATTATACATACAGGGTGTCTTATCAGATGGAACCGTAATAGCAGTGAAGCAGCTTTCGGCAAAGTCTAAACAAGGAACGAGGGAATTTGTTAATGAAATAGGAATGATATCGGCACTACAACACCCGAATTTAGTAAAGCTTTATGGATGTTGTGTCGAAGGAAATCACTTAATGCTAATCTACGAGTACATGGAAAACAATTGTATATCTCGCGCTCTTTTCGGTGAGCATCGCGTATATTATTCGTATTCCCATAACTCGATTTTTTTTTTTTATCTTATTTTTTTTTTTTACATTCTTTAATAGGAAAAGACGCGTCACAAAAAGTGAAGTTGAACTGGCCCACGAGGAAGAACATTTGCCTCGGCATTGCAAAAGGTTTAGCTTACCTCCACGAAGAGTCGAGGCTTAAAATAGTCCATCGAGATATTAAGACGAGTAATATTTTGCTGGACAAAGATTTGAAAGCTAAAATAGCCGATTTTGGACTCGCGAAGCTTCACGAGGATGGTAAAACCCACATTAGTACTCGGATTGCTGGTACTATGTAAGTTTCGTTTTAATTTTACTTTCATTTAGAGTTATATATGCACATAGTCAACTAATAGTATTCTAAGGCCTCGTTTGGTTTCTAAGATAAAATTAGTCAAGATAATATTACATTTTACATAATCCTATGAAAATCCGATTGCATTGTTGGACAATTAGCCAAGTCTACAACCATTTTTTCCATTAATTGCAGGCCAGCCCGAAAAGTTATTTAATTAATCATGGTTAATCTTGCCAGCTAAACGAGGCCTAATTTTATTAAATATAACTTCCTACTTAAATACAGTAATCATATCTCAAAAGGGTCTAATTCAAAAATAGCCAACTTCTTGCCGAAAGAAAGCCCATGAATTTTTAGCAGCCATTTTTATTTCAATTTCACAATTTTACTATTAAAAAAAAATATATAATAAATAAAAAAACTCATTATGTTAATTTTTTGTTTGCAGAGGTTATATGGCACCAGAATATGCGATGCGCGGTTACCTAACTAGCAAAGCAGACGTATACAGCTTCGGCGTGGTCGCACTCGAAATAGTCAGTGGTAAAAGCAACACAAACTATAGGCCAATCGAAGACTTCGTCTACCTTCTTGATCAGGTATTAATTTTTTTTTCAAGTATAGCAATATTTGTTGTAATTTAAAAAAATAAATATTAATAATCTACTAATGAATTAAAACTATACATAGGCTTATGTACTTCAAGAAAGGGGTAGTGTACTGGAGTTAGTGGACCCGGATATGGGGTCCGCATACTCATCAGACGAGGCGATGGTTGTACTAAACGTTGCCCTATTGTGCACAAATGCGGCCCCCACACTAAGGCCGACGATGAGTCAGGTTGTGAGCATGCTCGAAGGAAAAACGGCAGTTCAAGACTTGCTTTCCGATCCTGGATTTTCGGCTGCCGATTCTAAGTACAAGGCTATAAGGAACCACTTTTGGCAGAATCCTAGTGCAAGTCATAGCGTGTCGACTAATGGTACATACTCGTATTCGTCGCTTTCTAATGCTGATAGGGACGAAAACGAGATAATAGCTCAAAGAACTGATCAAAACGCGTCTATTCAGTGAAAAACGATAAGTATTATTTTTATCATTATTAATTTGTTAACCAAGAAAAATGTACATATAGTCTTCTTAGAACAAAGTTTGTGCATCATGGCATATGAGGAGTGTACTCAAACATTTGCAGGGGTCTCAAATTAGCAGGACAAATAATACTAATATTTATTTTAGATGGGTTTAAATTTTGTTTTTCTTATATTAATTTGAACAGATCTTAAAAATTCAAAAAATAAGCTGCTAGAGAGCAAATAAATAAGATTTTGTTAACAAGTACATCTACCCTACATTTTTTATCTAGAGATGTTATAATGAATAAAAATAGCTTATGAAATCATTATCCAAACACTTTAAAAATTGGAAATCATGTTCTTCCTATTACAATAGATTGACAATAAATTAAAATTTAAAGATTTTAAATCAGCTGGAATCGAAACGACAAATTTGAGCCAGAGTAATCACGTAAATAAATGCTGACGAAGCGTACGAGGATGCCCTATATTTTACAGTAAGCTGAGAACTACATTACATAATACCAAACAACCTAGATTTGCTATACAGAAATGTGAACAAGCAGAACGTAAACAAGTAAACGTACAACACGCAAATCAAGGTTAAAAAACAGAAGGTATGTATATGGATCTCGATATATATATATATATATATATATATATATATATATATATATATATATATATATATATATATATATATATATATATATATATATATATATATATATATATATATATATATATATATATATATATATATATATATATATATATATATATATATATATATATATATATATATATATATATATATATATATATATATATATATATACCATCATATCTAACTATATATTATCTCACGAGGCTTGGTTTCTAATGTTATCTCAGTCTCTTCTCTCCGATTGAACCTCCTTCGCCATCGAAGGAGAAGAACCAGGAGCCTCTGTCAGAAACTGCTGCCAAAACACATCGTTAGCGCCAGCTGGCAAACTAGGGGCGGCCCCCCCACTTATTTCCCGTTCGTTCGGCATTTCAGCATCGGGAGTTTTAGTCGGGCTCAAATTCACATCGATGCCCAACGTTGGTTTTTGCCTCGAGTCCATATCAATGCAAATGGAAGATATCGCCGGACTGTCGACATCATAATTCGAAGACGACGAATTACAGTCCCGCGAATGCGACGCCGACATGTGGCGAACAACGGGTGAGAAAGGCGGCGGCGGGGGGGCCCTCAAATCGGAATCTCCAGAAGACGCCACCATAAATTCGTCTTCAGACAGGGTTTGATCGATCCCGTCAAGAAACGTCTCCCAAAACGACAGCGACGAATCTAATTTCTCGACTTGCTCCAAATCTAATAGTGGAAGAGAATCGCTCGTATTATTTACGGTGAATGTCGTGCTTTTCGGCTCCCCGACGTGTTTGCATTCGCCGTGCAAGAAATGCAAAGCTAATAGTCTTCTCTTTTTGTTATGAGAGTGTTCCAATCGAGGTGTTTGCAATAATTGAGCTAATGTAGCCATTAATTGTTGTTGCCTTTGATCTATGCTTTGCAGAGTCTGCTCGAGCGACCTGAGCTGATATTCGTAGCCTCGATTTTCCTGTTTGTGCCGTTCGATTTGTGACTGGAGAGAATTTTTTTCTTGGTTCATTTTTTCGATCTCTTTTTCGTAATCCTCTCTTTCGGAATTTGTGAATGAGGATGCATTTGCTTGGCCCGAATGGCTGTGGATTGGCTTACGCCTGTATATATTCTTTAATAGATGCCGTTGTCCTCGGATGAACTCCTCGTTTGCAAACTCCCATTGATCGGGATCAATCTTTCTGAAACCCTACAAATTTCAAGAAAACCAATAATAATCTTAGGAATTACTACGTTATAAATCAAAAGGCCCGAATCGAGTTCCAACTACATATATGTTTTATTCATCACTTACTTAATCCTCAAAACATCTCATCGAATACATATTTTCCACTAAAACAAATTTGCTATTGAACACAGAATGAGTAGCTACACATATAGAGAAAGCAAACAACAAATACAGAGCTTCAAACCGAGACAACAAAAACCGACAAAAGTGAAGACAAACTTCATTCAGTTAATCCTCTAAACCTCTAATTCAGGAATGCTTAATTTTCCACAATTCTTGAAATACATTATATGTCAATTCAAAAACTAAGGCCTCGTTTGGTTGTCAAGATAAGATTAAATAATCTAATGGAACCCAATTGTGTTATTGGATTTTGGAAAATCCAACAAGAAACATGCCGGGAAGGCGATAAACCAAGATAATATTTGCCGATCGACCCAACATCAAACAAAGTCCTATTATTTAGTTAATAACAACTAATCTCCCCAACCAAACGAAACCAAACGAGGCCTAAGAGTTTCAACAGATAAGCTACTCAAAAACATCAAACAGTGACTCAAATAGAGATAGCAAACAAGAAAAATAGCTTGAAATCGAGATTAAAAAAAAAAATCGAGAAAAAAAAAAAGCTTACATAAGTATTGAGTTGCCTAATGAAGCTGGAGAAGTTATTGTGCTTGAAGTAATTAGGCAACAAATCTCTGGCAAAATCAGGTGGATTCCAGACAACAAAACTAAGTCCTGTCGGACTCCAAGAAACAACTGAACTTGTCTTAGGATCATCCACCATTTCATATGTCTTCACCAGAAATGGCGCCGCCGAATTATTACCACCATTTGATCCATCCATCACTCACTCACTCACTCACTCACTCACTAATTCACTTATTTATTTCAAAAAAATTAAAATTGGGTAAACATTCAATCAGAAACAAAACCCACAGAAGAAACAACCCCGCCAAATTAAAGAATCAATCTTTCTTGATCGGCAACAACATTAATCAATCAACAAAAACTCTAGAAATTGGGAAGAAAAGCAAAAGGAACTAAAACCCCAATAAAATCTTTAACCGAACCCTTGTGATTAAATCGTATGTTTCGTGGATTGCAAGTAAAAAAAAAAGGAAAAATTCAAAACTGTGTAGTCAACTCTACAAAACACGTGGTTCTTGGAGGAAAAGAAAACCCAAAAAAAAACCCGAACGGGAGAATTATAAATGTAGAGAGAGAAAGAGAGAGAGAGAGAGAGAGAGGAGAAAACTGATCGTCAAATCTGGGGCGTTTGACGGAGAAGACTTGACTTTCAACAACTCTTTGTTCTTATTCAAGTTCGGCAAAAGGAGTTTTGCTTCCATGGAGTTGAATTTCAAAGATACTTTTTTTCTTTTTTCTTTTTCGTATTCCTTTTTTTTCTTTTTTTTTTAATGATTAATATATTAGATTATAGGGTAAATTACAAACACCCCCCTGAGGTATGGTCAAATTACAAAAACCCCCCTCTTGTTTGGATAATTACATCTACCCCCCTCAACTATGATTTTTTCTTACCTTTATGGTGCCAAATTCAACATAGTCATCTAGATTCCGTGAAATGTGCTCTAGTTTGTACTCTTTGTGTAAAAAATACAGTTTTCGATGCACCACAAACTGATATATACAAGCTAAAAATCACATATTATGGTCATCTTCCTTCATAATGTAGAGTTTGAATGGGATAAAACGGGTACAAAAGTGATAATATTCCATATAATCTCGAAGATTCCACTAAATTTTGATGAGTTGAGGGGGTGGTTGTAATTATCCAAACAAGAGGGGTGTTTTTGTAATTTGGTCATACCTCAGGGGGTGTTTGTAATTTACCCTAGATTATATAAAATGTATGGGAAAATTGCACTTTGCCCCCTTACAAAATGTCATTTTTTCACTTCGCCCCCTTCAAAATGTCATTTTTGCACTTTGCCCCTCAAGATAGAAAAATGAGACTCTCCCCGTTCGAAATATATTAATGAGTGCACTTTGTCCCGATGTATATTTTAGGGCTAATTCTCGCCGGATTAAGGGTGTACATGTCATTCTACTTTTTCCGCTTTAAAATCCAGCTTTCCCTGTTGAGTTACTTAGGGTTCCTAAAGCCACAATATTCACTTCCCAAATTGATGAAAAAATCGATGGAGAAGAGTTGCCCCAATTCTTCGCGATTCTAATTCCCTCAACATTCAGAACAAAAAACATCAAAGGAATGTATAAAATTATGGACAAAATTGTCACGTTTGAGGAATCGTTTAAACGATCGATGGAGAACACCTGGTTGTTGCTCGGCGATTCAATTGATTTTGGGAGAAAATAAGGAGCTAACTGCAAATACCACTCCTGTGTTATCTCTAATTGTCAAATACCCCTTGTTGAAAAAAAAAACTCACCAACACCCCCTTGTGTTAACATTTTCGAAGCACACTGCACCCTATGTCATTCTAGGCATTGACTGAAGGTAAAGTTACAAAAATGCCCTATGCGGTATTTCAGCAATTAATAAAGCATATTATAATTTTATAAATATTAAATAATTTTTTATTTTATAAATATTATATTTTTTTTTATTTTGTAAATATTAAATAAAAAAAATATTTAAATCATAATGAAATATATACTGTAACATTAAAAGTCTTTATATATTTTCTATTTTTTTTTACATTCTATATTAAATGAAAAAAAAGAAAAAAAAAAAAAAACAAAAGGCCTTCTTCTCCAGACATCTCCCCTCCCACCCAACTCACAGGCCACAACACCACCATCTTCCCCAGATCCGTCGGCCACAACGTCTTTGAACTTTTAGTTTGCACCAATAAAATTTACGCACAATCTCCTATTTTGACGGCGGTGGCGGCGATAAGGCGAGCAAGAGAAGAAAAAAGAAAAAAAAAATGCAATTTTTGGATCTAGCAGGTTCGGCCGTCAAACTCGTCGCCGTCGAGAAAAATCGTTTGGAGATATTGTAGATAAGGTATTACTGTAATTGGCGCTGAGTTTGCCTCGGATTGTGCGGATTCGGGTCTGGTATGTGGATTGTAGAAGATGAGATGGTGGTGTTGAACTCTTATTGGGGTTGGGGTTGGGGTTTGGATTGTAGACAATGATTTTTTTCTTTTTATTTTTTATTTTATTTTTAATGAAATATAATATTTTTTACATTATTACTTTGAATTCTGAAAATTACAATTTGGTCCTATAAATTTATGTTATCATAATTTAACCAATAAGGTTATTTTTTATTTTATAAAGGGGTATTTATGACATTTCACCTTAAAAATACTATTAAAAATCGCACAATCCGCGAGTGAGTGACACGATTTGACTCCAGGGGTCTCGATGATCTGACTTTGTTAACACAAGGGGGTGTTGGTGAGTTTTTTTTTCACATGGTGGTATTTGACAATTAGAGATAACACAGAGGTGGTATTTGCAATTAGCTCAGAAAATAAGTAACCTATGTCTTTAGAGTTATCCGATTTGAGAGAGAAAAAGAGTCCCAACGGTAATATGGCGTGAAATATGGTCAAATGATATTTATAGCCTTAAAAGTTAGAAGATGGAATTAACCCTCCTAATTACTGAAATCCAGCGAGAATTAGTCCGTAAATACACATTTAGGCAAAAGTACACCGAGTTATATATTTTGAAGGGGGACAATCTCATTTTTTCTATTTTGAGGGGGGAAAGTGCAAAGTTGGTCTTTTTAAGGGGTGAAGTGCAATTTATCCTTAATATATTTAACAAAATAGCGTCGAATTCAGCAGTGACGGTAAAAGTAAACGCATAGACCCAGTCGTCCGTATCCTCTTTTAATCCATGTAAAGAGACCACAAATAGAAAAATAAATAATTTACTCAAAAAAGAAAAATAAATAATTGGTTAAGAAAAGAATTGCTAAATCGATTTATGTTATAGTTGTGATAAAATACTTGGCATTTGTTGCAGATGATGATACAAAAACCAATTTCGAAAATAGTATACAACACAACAAAATATTACTTTTTGTAGTTTTCAATGCAATTTGAATCATTTCAAGCGAAGTTAGAAGATGCTTTACATAATTTAATTTAAAAGAAATAAGTAAAATATTTTGCTGAAGAAGATAGATACGGTTAACCAATATGTTAACTACACGATTACGATAGTTTGGATCGGATGTTGCTGTTTTTTCTTACGCAGTACCTCGACGTGACGAGCGTGAAAATGGTTTAATAATCATTTTTTTTTTCTTTTTATAAGGGCTAAAACAACTTATTTGGACTTTTTTATCCGATATTGTTAGTTTATTTACTTTAAAAACGAGTTTTATTGTGGAAGAAGAGATAGGGGCAGTAATGGAGGTAGTGTTGTGGTGCAATTCCACACCCTTGGCATTTCAAAATTTATTTATTTATAGGATAAATTACAACCATCCCCTGAAGTATAGTCAAATTATGAAAACTTCCTATTGTTTGGATAATTACATCTATTCCTTAACTATGAATCTTCTTACACATCTATCCTTATGGTGTCAAATTCAATATAATCATCTTGATTCCGTAAAATGTGCTCTAGTTTGTACTCGTTTTGTGTAAAAATACAGTTTCTGATGCACCACAAAAAAACACATCTTATGATCATCTTGCTTCTAAATGTGGAGATCGAATGAGATAAATCGTGTACAAAAGTGATAAATTTCATATAATTAAGAAGATTCCACTAAATTTGAAATCGCAAGGGTGGACGTGTAAGAAAATTATAGTTGAGGGGTTGTTGTAATTACCCAAACAGGAAGAGCCTTTCATAATTTTACCATACCTCAGGGGTGATTATAATATTACCTTATTCATATAACTAGGACATTTGCTATTTTAAATTATTGAAACTAAATTAAAAATTATTAAAAACACTATTGTTCTATGTCTTTACGGTCTGAATTTTATTAGAAAAAAAAACTAATTTTCTCTTTTTCTATTTTAGGAGTTATATATTATATATATATTTTTTAAGTTTTTTTCTTAATAAAACTTGTTTAGAGAATATCAAATTAGTTATTTGTTAAAAAGTGATTTAACTTTCTTTTTATAAATACTAGTAATTTCACCCGTGCGATGCACGGGATTAGAATAAAATTAATGCAAAATAATATTTCGTTTATACATAAATTTAAGGTATCAAAATTAGAATAGTTTATATTTTAATTGCAGAAAGACCATAAAAAATGGAAATAAAGAACTTTTCTAGTCAAATTTCATGATACATCATAATAAGCAAAAACAATATTGCATAATTATATTGTCGATTATTTTCCCAGCATGCAACAACAATTCAATGCATCTAATAAAATTAACACAGTAACAATCACTTGGTTGTACACTTGTAGTCCCTATCACTACCAATATAATCTTTAGGAGTTGAATTTTTGTAGAACCTACACCTAGTGAATTACACCATGTAGTTTTTAATCGTAGATCTACACATAATAACACACACGTCCATATGTATGTGCGTTTAGTGGATAGTTATTTATGTAGATGTACGGTTTAAAACTATATGGTGTATTTCACCGGGTGTAGAATCTCATAAGCCTAGTCAACATTCAAAATAATTAATAACAAAATGTTGTACAGTTTCAAATGCTACTGGATTGGAGTATGGGAGTTGACTTAAGTTAGCTTTACAGACTTAGCATATGACCATTTAAATGAGATGATTAACTATAAACACAAAACTAACTTTAGATTTGTGATGCACGAAATTTTTGTATTTTTAGAGATTATTTAAAAAGAAACACATAAATATAAAAATACATGGAAAGAAAATATTAATATAATTAATGAAAAATGTACACGATTCGAGATTTTCAAAGTT